TCTTAGACATGTGTGAGCAGTTTTGTGTGTGTGTGTGTGTGTGTGTGTGTGTGTGTGTGTGTGTGTGTGTGTGTTTGGGGGGGTCATCTGCATGCAGAATGTGTGTGGGTGGGAGCTGGCAGGAAACGGGTTCAAGAGGTAAGTCAGAGGGAGACTGAAGAGGGCCTGCTGGGGAGGTTAAGCTTTCTTCTCCAGGAGAGCGCTGGGGGAAGTGGGTATGAGCGTTGGGGAGGAGCCATAAGGGGCAGCTCTTAGGGCTTTAAAGCAGAAGAACTTGATCTCTGTTTTATAAAGCGAACGGAAGGGTGGACTTGAGGTGCCATCTGTGAGCTGGAGAGTTCTGTTGGAAGGTGATTGTAATTGCCTGGCAAGAGATTGAGGGCCTGAACTAGGCAGGAGTGGCAGGAAAGAGGGAGGGATTCACCAGACGCGTTGCAGGAGCAATCTGCAGGAGTTGCAAGTAATTCATTGTAGGACTGAGGAAGAAGGAGAGGGTCAGGCTGCCTGCCCAGTTGCCAGTTTGTGTGATTGAAGCATTGATTATTCCACTTACCAAGGTAGGGAAAATGGTGTGAGGTTTTCAGAGGAATGGAAATTAGTCCCGTTTTAGAGATGTCAAAAGTGAGAATGGCCATGGAAGTCACCCTGCTTCTGCCCTGACCCACTTGGTAGACTTTCAAATATATGATGATTTCATTTCTGGACTGATTTTGCAGTTGACTTGTCTCTTAAGCTTATGGAGAAAGATTAAGAGAAAGCCTTAGGTCAAAAGTGACTTGAGATAGACTAAATGACAACCCAAAGTTATATAGCGAAAAGGAGCAGAGCTGGAATTCAAACCAAGGTGTGAATTTTTTGTTGTTGTTGTTGTTTTTTTTTTTTATGGCTTCTCATCGTCCTTATGGTCAAGTTCATACACCTTACAATGACTTCTAAGACTCTGTGATCTGATCCTGATCTCTGCCTGGCTTTCTGTTCTTACCACATGCCAATTTCCCTTCCTTGGATATATCATGATGCCTTCTACCCTGAGACCTTTTCTGTTCTTTCTGACTGGAATGTTCTTTTTAGCCTTTCTCTCCCTAATGAACTTGATAATTATCCTTCAGACCTCAGATCTCTTAGACAAATCCCTTTGACCCCTTGGAATAGTCACCCCAAGAGGAGTTTTTATAGCAACTTGTATTATTCCTCCCCTGTACTTATCACAGTTTGCAGTTATGCATTTATATCTCTGAGTAGAGGCCCAGTGCACAAAATTTGTGCATGGGTGTGTGTGTGGGTGTGTGTCCCTCAGCCCAGCCTGCACCCTCTCCAATCTGAGAAATCTCTCTCACAATCTAGGACTGCTGGCTCTCAACTGCTCACCTGCCTGTCTGCCTGATCACCCCTAACCACTTTGCATGTTGGCCTGATCACCCCTAACTGTCCTCCCCTGCCAGCCTGATCACCCCCAACAGGCCCCCACTATTCTAATTGCCTTCAACTGCTCCCCCTCCTCTTGGCCTGATCCCCCTAACTGCTCTCCCCTGATGGCCTGATCACCCCCAACTGCTCTACCCTGCCGGCCCGATCTCCCCTAACCGCCTCTGCCTCAGCCCTGCCACCATGGCTTTGTCCGGAAAGATGTACAGAAGGTCTCTGGAAGGTCTCCTGGTCTAATTAGCATATTACTCTTTTATTAGTATAGATGGTAAGCCCAACATGTCAGGAAATGTCTGACATTGAAAATACAGTTCATTATACTCACAGATCCCAAGAGAGTACATGTCTCATCATAGTGGGCCAAGAGGGGGACGCAGGGGGATCTACCACAAGGCAGAGAGGTGGCGGGACCAGGCAAGTGCTTTTATTGTGACTTCCTTGAGAAGGACCAGGCAAGGCAGGGTAAGTGGGTTTTATATTGGCCACTTGGAAGACTTTCAGCATTTTGGAGTATAGAGACTGCCTCTAGTTGTTTGGCACTGGGTCTTGCAGTGGTTAGGGCAGGTGTAGAGTAGCCCAGCCTGAGGGAGCTCAGTAACGGAGGTGGGCTTGGATTGGTTAGTTTGTATTTCAAAATGAAAAGCTTGTCCCAGGAGAAGGATTCTCCCCAAGGCAGTGGACGGCAGGTGGCCGGGACAAGCTAACTCAGGCATATTATTAGTTTCTCCAGACTAAGGAAGGTCAAGCATAACCTGTAGAACAGGTGTCAAAGCATCAAGTGTACAGAAGCTAGGAGCAATACATGGTGGCTGATTCCCTGAGTAGCCTTTATTAGGTTTGCAATCTGTTCTTCATTCCCAACAGAAATGAGGACAATAATAGTAATAACAGTAATAACTGGCCTAATTCTCTTCTGAACTATGGTCCCAAGGCTCCTAACCTGTGTTGGACAGTAAGCCCCTGAGCTTCTATTCACCAATGAATATAGTTCAGACATTCAAATTGAGCCTGCCCACTATCCACCACCTCCCCCTCCTCTCCCGCTCCTCACCCCTGCTGAAAAGGAAGCTTGTGTGCTCTGCAGGCTGGTCTCCTCCCTGTCTGTGGAATTTCTCACACTTGTCTCTAAATCGGGAAGGTAGTTAATTACTGTGGGTAAAGCTCCAAAGGCCTGGATTTGAATCCCAGCTCTGCTGCTTAGAGTCTGTAAGACCTTGAACAGGTTACCTCACTCTTCTGTGTCTCATGGTACTTTTTATAGTCTGTGATCACCTGATTTATATATTTATTTCTCGTGTCCCACAAGAGGCTCCTCAAAGTCTGGCGTCTTGCTTGTCTTACTCATTGTTGGGTCTCTGAAGCTATCACAGACAGTACAAAGCAGGCAGTATGTGCTGAGTAAATATTTGCAGCTGAATGAAGGACACGTGAATTCACTAATGGATTTTCCAAGCAGGTGTCCATACGTCACTGTCCGAGAGCCTTGTTCCAGAAAGCATGTTTCATGGCCACGGCTTGAATCAGGACAGGCACATTCCATCTCGTATTTTCATCATTTCTTTTAGCATTTAAAACTAAATCTATAACATATAATGGTAATTGATGTATTAATAAATTGCTAGAAATTATTAAAAATCAAATGAAGTAGAACTTCACTATATTGTGCTTTAAAAGCCAAATATAAGGTACATTTTAGAAACATTTCCGTCAAAATAGGAAAGACCCTCAGAACTGAGGGGTTGACTTCAGCCTTTTGGATTATTTATTTAAACATTCAGCATATATATCTAAAAGATAAGGATCCTTTATTTTATTTTATTTTTTTAAAATATATATTTTATTGATTTTTTACAGAGAGCAAGAGAGAGGGATAGAGAGTTAGAAACATCGATGAACGAGAGACATCGTTTAGCTGCCTCTTGCACACCCCGCACTGGGGATGTGCCTGCAACCAAGGTACCAGAACATGCCCTTGACCGGAATCAAACCCGGGATCTTTCAGTCCGCAGGCTGATGCTCTATCCACTGAGCCAAACCGGTTCCGGCAAGGATCCTTTAAAAACAAAATAACAAAAAACAAAAAAACCCTCAATACCATTAGTATATCTAAAATAAAAAAACAATAATTTTTTAATATTTTCAAATATCCAATCATGTCAAAATATCTTCTGTTGTCTCATAAATGTCTCTTTGTTATTGGTTTGTTTGAATAAGAATTCCTACCAAGTCAACATGTTGCATTAAGTAACCTCTTAAATCTCTTTTACTTTTTAATGGTTTCTCCTCCCTGCATCCCTTCGCCAATTTTTAAAATTAAATAAATCAGATAATTTGTCCTGTAAATTTCTCATATTCTCAGTTTTGCTAGTTGCATCCCCATGGTGGCATTTAACAAATTTAAATCTATTCCCTGTACTTCCTATAAACTTATACAGCTAGGGGCTTGATTAGATTCAGCTTTGACTTCTTGGTAAAAATATTTCAAATGTATCTGTGTATTTCTCATTGCATCCTGTTGAGAAACATCTGGTTGTCTCTTTTTGTGATATTAAGATTGATCAGTGGGTCTGCCTGCTCTCTCCATTCTAAACTTTCATGGAATGCAGTGGTTCTTAGCTCTGACTATGTGTTAGAACACCTGTGAAGTGTTTAGACATTTCTGATGCCTAGCCCCAACTCTCAACCATTAATTGGTGCAGGGTAGATCAGGCTCAGTAATTTTATTTAGAGTCCTAGGTGATTTTGATGTACAGACAGGATTCAGAACTATATACTATCCTGATCATTTTGACCTCTATTGAGGATTCTTGGCTAGAAATTCATTATTTCAGAAGGAGTTGATAAATAGTGATACTCTGTCATGCTTTCTTCACTATAAAAGCTTTCATTAAGTCTTCAGTTCTTTAATTTTTATGGAAAAGATTGGGTAAATATTGGATTCTTAATAGTTTTCTGAATAATGATTTGAGTATCCAACATTCTACAAAGGTGACCAGTGAGTTTAGTTTAAGTGTGCTTGTGAATTTATAAATTTTTAGCAAATCTGATGTTTCAAACTATTGTATTGATTGTCATTATTATCATTGCTATTATTTTGATGCTCAAATTGTTTGAAATTTAGCCAATGGAAGCTCTTCCAAGTTAGCTCCTTGGACTTTTATTTTTTATTTTCAACAACATCAGTAGTATTTGATTCCTTCCTTGCTTTTACATTTGGCATAGTTTAGGCTTATCTTGTACATTTCATAACTTAATTGTTCTGTGGCCTCTTCATCTTGTGCAATTCCCGTTCTGGACCTGGAGTCAGCCATTAAATAGTTTAGCTCTGTGTGTCCTACTTGGTGAGTTTCTATTTGGTGGCTATGTCATGATTGCAAAATGACATGGCAGATATATAAAGTAAAAGTAAAACTCAACAGGAAATTAGGAACAAGTATAATGGTTATGTAAGGCAATATCCTTATTTATTAATTTTTTTTTTTTTTTTTTTTTTTTTTTTTTTTTTTTTTTTACTGTTAATCTGGCAGAGAATGTTGCATAAACCCTTTGTAACCTTGGTATTTTTTTCTTTCCAGTTAATGTCCATCAGCGTGCTGGCAGTTTCTGCTTGGGTGAGGGACTACCTAAGTAACGTTCTGACTTTAACTGCAGAAACAAGGTAGGCTTTATGATTGATTTAATGATTGATTTCTTTGATCAGGTTTCCTCAGGCACGAGTTTCTAGGTAATTTTGTCCTTAGCTGTTTAGAGGGCATTGCCCCTAAGTTCCTTTGGAAAGTTTTCCCTGTCCATGGCAACCATTGTTACAGCCGTCTGCATTTTCCCAGCATTCTCATCAAGGTCCTGAGAGATCATTCCTGCCCTCCTGACAGGGCGTCAGCTCTGTCATTTTTGCATAAGGACAGCAGCGCTACTTTTTTCTACAAAATTCATCCCCAAACTTGTTGCCTTCATATTCCTGAGCTCAGGGAAACCAAACCCACTCAATGCCATTTCTTCTCAATTTTCAAAGGCTGAGCCGCTAAGCTCACTAGGAGCAAATTACTCAACTTCTCCTAGCCTCAAAACTTTTCATTTCTTAATGGGGAATGTCATATATTCCACTCTGAAACATCCTAAGGATTCACTGAGATATATTTTTGTAAAGCCCTCACTCAACTCAAGGGTAATTTTGTTGTTCCCATTATTCTTCTTATTGTTGCTGTAGTTAATTATTATTTTTTTCTCATCGTTTTCTAGCAAAAATCATCTCTCCCCCTTCCTTTTTCTTTTAAATGGAGCCCCAGGTCTGGGAGGAGGAGGATGGAGACTCCTTAGCTGGGAAAGAGCGAAGGGTCCAGTGTGGCTCCCGAGGCTGAGGCTTCAGAGCTAACAGTAGATCGACTTCTTGTTAAGGACCTCTAGCTCATCATATATTTTAAATTAGTTGAAGTTGGAATGTACCCCGTTTTTAAAAAAACTAAAACAACAAAACTAAACAAAAATAAACAGGCAAGCACATTGCTGAGATAGCACAGTGATTTTGAAAATAGCAGTACAGCTATTGTCCTTGCGCTTGATGATTTAAAGATTATTCAGGCGAATCACAGTGGTGTCTTGTACTGAGTCTCCGGTGCCTCTTGATCACACTTCTTTGGATGGTGACATGATTGTTCTTTTTCAGGGTGGAGGAGGCTGTCATCCTGACTTACTTCCCCGTGGTCCATCCGGTCATGATTGCCGTTTGCTGTTTCCTTATCATCGTGGGGATGCTGGGATACTGTGGGACCGTGAAAAGAAACCTGCTGCTTCTGGCCTGGGTATGGCGTTTCTGTCTTCTCTTTATTATGGTCAAAAAGACCAGTTGTGGCTGTTTGACATCGGTGCCCAAGACTCTGTACTTCCAGGACTGTGCTCTGACCTGGGGTCATTGTTCAACAGCCTGTGAGGAGGAAAGCTTTTTCCAGGAGTGATGACTTTAACCCAGTCTTTGCTTTCCTCAAATGATGAGGAATGGACGTATGTGCTCTACTTAATTGTCTCACTCAGGCTGTGTGCTAACGTTTTCATTCAAAAGTATGAGTTTTGCCCTGGCCGGTTTGGCTCAGTGGATAGAGCATCCGGACTGAAGGGTCTTGGTTTGATTCCAGTGGGGGGCACATGCCCAGGTTGCGGGCTCCGTCCCCAGTGGGCGGGCCTGTGGGAGGCAGCCAATCAATGATTCTCTCTCATCATTCATGTTTCTCTCTCTCCCTCTCCCTCTCTAAAATCAATAATATAAAAAAAAAAAAAGTATGAGTTTTGTCTAGAGTCATGGACCTTATGGCCACTCTGACAGGTCCCTGAGACATCATAATGGAATGAAGTTTCTTCTTTTTAAAACCGACCTGCCGTCTAAGCTTGTGTGGAAGTTCAGGGGGTCAGGTAGCAGACAGATATTACCGTCCTGGCACTGCCTTTATGTGGGTTAGCACATATAAGTGAGTCCCGGTGTCTATGATCTCAGTGGTTTTTTATTTTTAATTCTGACTTTGCTAGATTACTTCTTAAAGTCCCTTCCAGCACTCAAGTTCTATGATTCCAAGATCTGTGCTTAAACTTTTAATGAAAAAAATTAGCAAACTCTCTTTTAACATTAAAAATCCGAGTTAATTAGAAATACAGCTTATATAAAGATTTAAAAACATTTTTGTTGTTGTTGCTAATTCTCACTCCCCTTTGCTTTTGAGACAGAGTGGAAGGGAGGAAAGGATAAAAAGAGGAAGAGGAAGAAGGAGAGATGGAGGGAGGGAGGGAAAGAGAGAGGAAGGGAGAGAGAGGGAGGGAGGAAGAGAGAGAGAGGGAGAGAGACATTGATGTGAGAGAGATACATCGACAGGTTGCCTTCTGCATGTGCCCTGGATCGAACCCAAGATCCTTTGGTGTGTGGGCCAGTAGTCTAACCACCGAACACACCGGCCAGGGCTGTAAAGGTTTTTTGAAGTGCATTGAGTGTATAAAATGTTACATGTTAGTGGCACCGGGTATTGAGGCTGCTAATATAATTGCAAACATATCAGGTGCTTCCCAGAATTCATTGAATATATTCATTTCTGTGCAGTGGACTTCAAGGCTAGTTATGCATTCATTCCTTGTAGGGAACATAATAAATTTCTGTGTGCTGATATGCAGGATGTCTGGGCAGAAAGAAAAGCCCTGATTTGTAGCGTTTGCAGGTCTCGGTGAGGTAAATACTCCAGCATGGAGGATTTTAGGTTACCCAGAGGTATCGGTGAATGCAGAGCTGGGGAGAGAGAGCACCAATGGGCTCCGAGGGGCCAGCTTGGCACACCGGAGCCGGATGGCTCCCTCCCCAGCCAATAAAGCAGAACCTCCGTGTGAAGCTGCACGGAGCCTTCGCGTTTCCCAGGGACAACCTGTGTGAATGCGTTCCTTCGCTTCTTGGAGGATAGCTCCTCAGGCCGTGGTTAGGAAACAGGATATGCCACAGACAGCACCCGGCGCTCAGAGGAGGGGGACATGCCCAGGGCCTCACTGCGCTCCACGCTGCTGAGAAGCACGGTGAAGGCTTTGGGGCCTTATTTTGCCATTTAAGATATTTGGACAACAATTTAAACATAAACTGAAGGACTTACTTTACATGAAGCTGATAGTTTAAAGCATGGGTGAGGTATTTTAAACCGAAAAAAACTCAGAATTATTATTTATTTATTTATTTGTTAATCCTCACCTCAAGATATTTTTCTATTTATTTATTTTTTTAAGTGGGAGAAGGAGGGAGTGAGGGAGGGAGAGAGGAGAGAGAGGGGGAGAGAGAGATGTAAACATCAATGTGAGAGACACATTAATTGGTTGCCTGCCAACTCAGCCCAGGGATCTGAACCTGCAGCCCTTCAATGCATGGTCTGACACTCTAACCGCTGAGCACCACCGGCCAGGGCTCCCAATACTCTTTAAACCCACACTCTCATAGTGATGTTTTATTTACACCAGTTTAAGTGTGACAGCTATTCTCCTCTTCCCCCTGCTTGTATGACTGGATGGCCCCTGGACGGTGGAATGGGGTGGGGGTGCGGGTGCATAGCATATTTCATGGAACGTAAAGGCTTTAGGAACACATTTCAAAACCAGTTATGCATCACAATTGTCTGCTCCAAAAAACAACCCTTCAGGCTCAGAGGACACCGGTAGGAAAATACTTCCAGTAAAACTTGGTCATGAATTTGACCATTTATTGAATTATAGATACAATTTAAAAATATCCTAATTTAAGCTTCCCAAATAATATTTAGGGCACCCAATTAAATTTGAATCCCAGATAAACAACAAATAATATTTTAGTCCAAGTATGTCCCATGCAATATTAAGCTATAACGTACTAAAATATTCTTCATTGTTAGGCTGCAACTCAAATTTAAATGAGTATCCTGTATTTTTTTTTTTTCCTTCTGAATTTGGCAACCCTACTCTGACTACATTTGTTCTTAATAAATGTGAAATTGTCATAGGAGAGAAACATTTTTATACTTATATGAGGAGATTGGGAAAAATTAACTTCTAATTGTATTGGGAAAGCAAGCCAAAAATGACTAGGAAAACAAACTTGATTATACCGTGACTTTCAAAGTAATTTCAGTAGCAGAAATTCCTTCTTTTTAAAAGAGAAATTGGAGCTAAATGGGAATTGGTTTTAAGCTTATATGGGTACTTCCCAAGGCTTTTAGCTGTAGACCAAATGAAATTCATTTATTTTTTGCAGTTCTACCTTGCTGTTAACACAGGCAGTAAGGGAGCCGTGCCAGCTCAGGGGGATTGTAAACAGATTGAGCAGACATGGTTACAATATAGACAACAGCTGAATGCCACTGTCAGGAGATGGTCCTTTGTCAGAGTGGGATGCTAATGTATGCTCAACTGCCAGCAAACTCAGCTAGTCAGGCACTGGTAAAAAGGGGGATGGATACATATCATGTGTTTCAGCGCAGTACCTTCTGTTTAAAGGCAGAAGTTTCCTCTTTTTCTCCCAATTTTATTTTTAGGAGAATTTTCATATGGCCGTTGATTGTATGGAAGCTTTTCTAAAGCGTTCTTATAAGATATAGTAATTAAACCAGGTGTGAAATGATTCTCTTAAAGGAAATCAAATCAATTTTTTTGTTGTTGTTAACCCTTCCCCGAGGAAATTTTCCCATTGATTTCTAGAGAGAGTGGAAGGTGGGGGAGAGACTAAGAGAGAGAAACATCAATGTGAAAGAAAGACATCGATTGGCTGCCTCCCAATGCACATGCCCTGTCCAGGGCCAGGGATCAATCTGCAACCGAGGTACATGCCCTTGACTGGATTCCAACCTGGCACCCTTCAGTCCATGGGCCAACAGTCTATCCTCTGAGCCAAACTGGCTACAGAAAATCAAATTAATTTTTAGTGATCATGGAGAGATTGCCATCCTCAATGTTTTTTGTTGTTTAAAATCATAATATAAAACTGGATAACCTTTAATAAATAGTTTTTCTATAGGCTCTGTTTAAGGCCTTTTCATAAGTAGTTATAAATTTTGTTTATATAGTTATTAAGTTAAAATTCAACGATTACATTTAATATCGTTAATATTCTATTTTTAATATCAGTTGATGGTTAGCAACCTTCTTTACTTATTTTTTAAGTATATTTTTATTGATTTCAGAGAGGAAGAAAGAGGGAAAGAGATATAGAAACATCAGTGATAAGAGAGAACCATTGATCAGTTGCCTCCTGCAATCCCCACACTGGGGATATAGCCTGCAACCCGGGCATGTGCCTTGACCGGAAATCAAACTGTTACTTTCTGGTTCATAGGACAATACTCAATCAGGCTTTTGCTCTATGCCAGCCAGGCTTAGCAACTTTTTCTAAACCAAAGTTCATTGTATCACTGACTGCTTGTTCAGCATGTGCCCAGTGTTTTACCCTTATTTTCTGAGGAAATACTTAAAGGATGTATTTCACAGATGAGGGGAGTAGGATGCCCAAGGATACACAGCTGTTAGTTGCTATAGTTACTATCAGTAGTGTGCAAACACTGTCTTATGCTGAAAGCCCAAGCATGTTTCACCCACCACACTGCGATGGTTAATTAATTACTGGCATTATTTCTGTATGACTTAAATAGACTCTGTTTATAATTCCAAGGCAGTCAGTAGTCATTTAACTTTTAAAATATAATCTTTTAATGTCCTTATTATAAGAGGAACTCTAAAAGTTCTGCCATGGTTCTCTCTCATCCCGTCAAGGAATAAATGGTTTTTCCTTTCCTTTCTATATTCTTCCCTCCCACTCCTCTCCTTTTCTTTCCTCCTGTTTTCCCTTCTTCCCCCCTTAAACATATATTGAGCACCCAAGTCTGTGTTAGACACTGGAGGGGCAAAGATGAAAGGGGAGAATGCAAAGAAAATAACAAAGGAAAACACAATATTTAAGTAAAAAATAGATTGCTGTGGGGACACAGAATAAGAAGCACTTGGAGGCTTCTGGCAGGCTTTATATAATAGGACAGTTATTTGAGCCGGAGACTGAAAATGTGTAAGAGCTTACTGGTAGAGAGGGAAAGGGGCTTTAGAGCAACATGATTATCTGCAAAGACATAAAGACATGGAGGAGTAAAGGAACTTGGCAAGTTTAGGCACAACTTAGAAAGTCAGTGTGGCTGTGGTGTGGGTGCACAGTGAGAAACACAGGATGTAGCCCAATTGTGAAGGTTTTTATAGGAGAGTGTGATGTTATGCTTGGGTGTTTCCAGCATGGGATGAGATGATAACGTGTAGGGCAGGAGGCACTGGGAAG